ATATATATACATATAAATAATTTCATAAATATTTCGCAAATACTCAAGACCTGTCACCGAAGGTGGTATAGGATTTGACTACCGTTTAGCCATGGAAATTCCTGACAAATGGATTAAATTGTTAAAAGAGGTAAATGATGATGACTGGAAGGTTGGCGACATTTGCTGGACACTCTCCAATCGAAGATGGATGGAGAAAGCGGTCGCTTACTCCGAGTCTCACGATCAGGCTTTCGTTGGTGATAAGACGATTGCATTCTGGCTCTTGGATAAGGAGATGTATACACACATGAGTACTTTAAGTTCACATAGTGATATCATCTCTCGTGGCATTGCCCTTCACAATCTAATCACGCTGATCACGCATACTTTGGGCGGCGAAGCTTATTTAAACTTCATAGGTGAGTAATAAATAAGTAATAGATAATTTTAGATTAATTTCTTACTGTGTATGACTATGTGAACGATTGCATCTCAAGATATATATGTATCAAAATTTATTCAAATCACAATTGAATAAGAATGTGAGCAATCACAAATACTCTGATATACATATCTTGCAGGCAATGAATTTGGTCATCCTGACTGGCTTGACTTTTCAAGGATCGGAAATGCAGATAGCTATCATTATGCCAGACGTCAGTGGAATTTAGTAGATGACGAATTACTCAAGCATAAATATATGAACAATTGGGATCGCGCTGTGAATATGCTCGAAGAGAAGTATGGATGGTTACAGGTCATCCTGTAAATAGTTTTATAAGTTTGTATTTATTTGAGTGATTTTGATATTCGACAATAAAGATTTAAAGAAATTTAAAAAGTCAAGAGTGATAAATTTCAATTTATAGGGTTATTTGAGCTGGAAGCACGAAGATGACAAAGTGATCGTCTTTGATCGAGATGATCTCACATTCGTCTTTAATTTTCATCCAGTCAAGTCGCTGATTATCCGGTCGGTATAAAAAACCCAGGAACGTACAAGATCGTTTTGTGCAACGACGATGAACAATTTGGAGGAGAATGTCGCGTAAACACAAACGTGCATTTGCGCAACCAGAATCATTTTCTGCGTTTTTACAAAAGTTGTAAAGCTTGAAGGAAGACATAAGAGAGTACTTATTGGTTCGACCTTGAATGGTATTGTCCGTATTACAGCAAGGTCACTTCGAAATTTTTAAATGGAATTCCCTATTTTTTTATTATATATTCTTGTAGCTTATATCCAAAAATACTGTAATAATATGCAATAAAATCCAGAGGGTTCCATTTAAAAAATTCAAAGTGATGTTGCCTTGTGAAGTGACCTTAACAATGCCACCCAATATCAAATCAAAATGGTATCCTTTTTATGTTTCCCTTCAAATTTTTTTATCTTTCATACATTTAAAGATATTTCGATGTTCAAGTGAAAATAATAAAGTTCAGTTATTTAATGAATAACCCAGTATCCGAAAAACCAGAATTTTTAATTCAGCAATAACTACACGAATCATATTCTATCTATTTCAATTCTTGATGAATTGAAATAGATAAAAATGAATTCGTGTAGTCATTGCCGAATGCAAAATTCCGATTTTTCAGATACTGGGAAATGCAGTAAAAAAAAAATAAATATATATATATAAAACTTTTATTTAAGTATTGTAAATTGTAAAATGTTTTATTAAAGTTAATGTTCTTTTATAAACACTACATAATGACCTGTTCTATTATATACCTGTAACTTAGACGTAATGTAAAATAATATAGGGTTTCGATTGTTGTATATCTTGAAATAAGATAAAAATTACAAAAGTGAGCAAATTTACTAAAATTTAATATTCTAGTAAATTTATTCACTTTTGTAATTTTCATCTTGTTTCAAGATATAATTCACCCCCTCATTTTTTGACATTACAATTTCGGTAGGTCAGGATTAGGTTATATTGGCAGAATTTCGATATACACCGCCAATACCATGAAAATTTAATAAAAATCTTATTAGATTTTCATAGTACTGGCGGTGTATATCGAAATTCTGCCAATATAACCTGATTTAATCTAGAAAAATCGTTATGTCCAAACTTAATCTGAAAAATGTCTGAACAATGACATTATAGAATGTCTCGAAGACGTCTTATAGACCATTATAGGAAATGTCTGGAAGACATCCATCGAAATGTCTAAAATATATCTAACATGACGTCTGACAGACGTGTAATAAGACTACTAAAAGACAGACATAAGGCGCCTTTTAAAGACGCCTTAAAGATGCCTTTTAGTAAAATTTTTCGGACGTCCTACAGAATTTTATGACGTCTCTCATGGGCCTTCTACAATAAGTCATAAGTCATAAATCGGAAGTAAGAAATTAAAAATTGACGACTTTGATTGGTCCATTTCTAGCTTATGACTTATGATTTGTGACTTACAGCTTATTGTAGAAGGCCCATTAGGCGTCTTAAAGACGACTTATTGTTCACTGGGGAACATGTCCTACAGACAATGCGTTAAGTCCCTCATTGAATAACTGAACGTGTTAACCAATATATTCTTATCCAAAACTATTTTACTACTTATTAGTTATAAATCTCTGATATTTATTTTTCTTTTATATACACTGGGCAACAAAATTAACGCAACACCTGTTTCACTGTGCAAAAACAGGCAAACGGCAAACTTCAAGATAAAATAACTTCGTCAAAAATCATCGTATCCAGATTAAAAAAGCATTTTACAGCTTGAAACCTCTACTTTTCAAATCCCCACGTAGCACACCAGCGCCTGTACAGCGCTTTCGAAGCGCTGTTCAGATTGCACCTCCCAAAAGTGCTGTTAATTATGCACTTTTATTGCATGCGGATAACTCGCTAATTTCAAGTCATATTTGATCAAAAGTGAACATGCGCGTAAAAAGCGCTTTGAAAGCGTTCGCTCTTGAGAAACGATTCAAAAGCGCTTTTTTAGCAGAAACATCAAAATTTTGTAGATATTATTTAACAATATTTTATTTTCTTAAATAATATCTACAAAAGTATTTTGGATTGCTGATACGATAATAAAATTAATTAAGTTATTTATTGAAAATTTTATTAAAAAGCATAAAAATTTATTTATAAATATGAGTATCTCGGCTAGTTACTGCGGTAAGTATATAATATATAATAATTACAATATCACACAACGCGCACACACACATAAACGTGTTATGTAAAATATGTATGCGATTTAACCTCGAAATGTGTGTGTATGTGTGTGTGCATTGCAGAACGCAATTATGTAGTATCGCGTTGACAGCTGTCAACGCGTTTCTGTCTGTGATTTTTATCAGGGAGTACTCGCGTGAATCTTTAATAATGGTTACGTTTATTTTGAATTTCGCGAAACTGCGAGTAAAATAACTAGCATTTGCAGATTCCAGTTTCCGTTTTCCGGCTCCTTTCTCTGTTAGCACGGTGGACCGGGCGGATGGCGGATGGCGATGCGTCGATAAATTCATATCAGAGGTAATCTTTCAATTCTTTTAAGTTTATTTATATATATTATATTATATTACAAGAAGTTTAGAAAGTCTATATCCGTTTGGCATAAGATTTATGGTGTTGAATGCTTTATATTTGTTATGTGGCTTTTAAAACTACAAGTAACCTTAAACTTTTGTAAGTAGAATATAACTTTCTAAACTTCATGTGGTAAGAATCTAGCGTATTATTGCGTGATAATATATATATACCATATAAGCTGTATATGTATGTATAGAGTATACTTAACTAATCTTTATGTTTCAGTTTTATCACTCTTTGTTATAACTATTTTTCATTTATTGCCAAGTGTCGTAACATGGATTATAATTGTACTTGTAAGCATTGCTTCTACAGGTAAGTAATTGCATTTTGAAAAACCATTAATTTACAAGAAAATCTAGCTTTTCAGTGAATGTATGTACATATGTGTCATAAATTAAATCTATAAATGGACAATGTTGCAGCAACAATTAATAAATATATCAATAAATGATATGTGCACTCGCAGAAATAAATCTATCAAAACAAGAATAGAGAGACTTATCAAGATAATATTTTTACGAAATTGTAATAATTGCTTAAATATTGTACATCTATTGTTGATTAATGATTGAACATGAAATTTATTCAAGTTGCTTAATTACTACTCATAAAATCTTTAATTCCGATCTATTCTTTTTATTCCTTAGCAATGGCTGGCAACATAATTCCAGCGATCGTTACCACCAATGCTATTATCGCGGGCATAGTGGTCCTCTATGTCTTCCGAGTTCTTGAGAACAATCTACGAGCCTGCAGATCTGTCTATTTACGCTTGAAGATGAATCACCGCAATCAACTACTGGTTCCAGAAAAGTCAGTGAATCCGCCTAATCCACAGTGTTATGTTTGCGCACCTGTCCCGCAGGCTACGCTGGCAGTTGACACTACTAGTATGACTATTAAAGAACTAGAGGAGCTGGTACTTAAGAATAGACTCAACATGATCGCCCCTGATGTAATGATCGATGGAACTGGTGCAGTCGTCATTAGCAGCGAGGAAGGCGAAATGGAAGGCAATAACAACAAAAAATTGGAGGAGCTAGGAATAAAAAATGGAACGATTTTCAAGGTCGACGACTTTCAGCAGAATTATTCGTTGACCGTTTTTATTATTTACCGGGAGAAACCTGATCCAAAAGATGATAGTCCACAATTTTTAATATTGGCAGATAAGAACGCGTTTCAACCAAAGGAAAACGAAGAAGAGAAAACGGAGAAGTCTTCTTCCAGCTCTAACGGACAAGTAAGCACGCGGAGAAATATTTCTCTTAATTTTGTTGTTTATTTATTTGCTAAAAAAATATGTTTTTGCAGAACGTGATAGACACATCGAAGGTAGCTAAGAAGCGCAAAAATAATACCGAAGCAGAAGTTGTAGCTAAGAAACGGTCTGGATACTTGTACACCAAAAGATTTCAGATGATTTTTGTCAAACATCAAGGAATTCTAGAAAAGCAAAGAAACATCTTTTGATGAACAACGTGTTTATGTGCATTTTTACGTAATTTTTAAATATTATATTATACTTAATTTTATATATTTGCTCTAGCGTTTTGTATTTGGCTCATTGCCCTTTTTATTATTCATATTTTTTTTAATTATTAAATGTTTAGATTATTTTAACATTACACATTTTATTTTTTTTCAGTTTTATTTATTAATCAAATAATCTATAATATCACATAAGCGTTCATTTCGAAAACATTCTTCTATCCACTTACATTTTACAATTTTTGCCGATATTTGCTCACGTGCTTTTACGTTTCTTATAATAGTGCTTGTCTCATTATCTTCTACAAAAATATGTGTGACAGAATCTTCACAGTTATCTCTTATTATACCTGACATAAAACGAAATTTATATTGAGCAAGACACGACTTATTCTCAAAAAATCCA